TCCCTGCGGCCCCTTGATTGGCCCCTCCCCCCGGGATGGCAGCCTGTGGCTAGTGCAGCCGGGATGATGGCCGAGTGCTGTAATGTTCCGCGTGTGGGCACTCAGGGCACTCCAAGCCAGGACTGCTTTGCAAGCAGGGAACCCTGAGAACTGTCTGTCCGGGGTGGGGGTCGGGTCCCTTTAAGCACAGCCCTCGGCTAGCCTGAGACAGCAGCTCCACGCTCTAAGTCCTCATCTGATGCCCTGCCGGCACTGCTTCCGGCCATCCTTAACCTCTGTTCAGGGTCCACTCTGTGTGGACATGCTAGTTCGAATTAGCAAAACGCTAATTCAAACTAGTTTTTAAGTCTAGCTGCGCTAATTTGAATTAGCTTAGTTCGAATTAACTAATTTAGTTAGTTCGAATTAGCGCTGTAGTGTAGACATACCCCCAGGGCTGGGCTTTACCCTTAATGGCTCTGTGATGGGGCATTTGCCCCACACTGGCAAGAAAGGGAAAAGAATCACAACTCATATTTCAATTCTTAGGACCATGGCATTTCCCACCAAACCAAAAGCATGACAGATCAAATGTAACATTGTAGTCTGAAAACTTAAAATAAGCTCTTCTCTGAGATCTAACTGCTGAGTTGATAATTTGACCTCATCTTAAGGTCTAATTCAGTAGACTACACAATTCTACATGACTTCCAGCTGAACAATTCCCTAACATTTAATTTATGATGGGAGCAAATAGAAGTACTTGCTTATCACTGCCAGAAAGCGAACAGACATTTTCCAGGAAAAATAACAGCAAAAAGTTGCAAAATCTCTCATTAATATCAACTTCATCTCATTCATATTTAAGAAAGGTTACATTGAATTTGTATAGTGCTTTGTTCTACAGTACCTGCTCCACTCTTCCTTCCTGAAATGCAAGAATCCTGGTGACATTTTTGAACTCTGCATATCTGCTAACGTTAGACTTAGTTAGAAGATCAATTAACAGTCCCCGGGAATAGAGCAGCTGTACAAAACAAAAAAATAAAATAACTGAGGATAAAAAAAAACAAGAACTTCCATCAAAATCAAACAATTACCTCAGTAGTATCAGATTTATAGGATCTTTTACATAATTGCCTAAAAATAAGTACTGTGAAATAGAAGGATATGAAGAAATACAAAGATACCAAAATAAAACAATGTTTTGTCAGTGAGAGGAATGAGACACACAAAAATAGCTGAAGAATAGTATCCCAGAAGAAAATATGTTCCTACCTCATAGTGATATGGTTTTAATGGTTTGGTGAAATCACCATACTGTATCTCTTCTGTACTACATGAGGTACAGAATATCTGAGGTGTGTCAGGTAATACTGCTCTATGATTTCAATAAAGGGTTGTGGTCATTCCTTTGTGTTCTGTCTGTCTTTCAACATCACCAGAATGGCTACGGAAATGGTCTTCTGCTCTAGTCACTAGGGATTTGAAGGATCCAGTCCAACATCATTTTTTCTCTCTTCCAAGCCTCTAGGAAGGTGGAAGGTCTTATCTACTTATCTTTATATTGGTGATTATTGACCCCTTTTCTGGCTCCAAGTCCATCATCTTCTATCCCTCCCCGCATTTTAGGCTTACCTTTCTGATTCCTTAGAATCAGATGATTCTAAGATGCTTCAGGTGGTCCTCGAGTCCAGCCTCCTGCCCAAAGCAGGACCAACCCTAATTAAATCATCCCAGCCAGGGCTTTGTCAAGCTAGGACTTATGCATAGCAAGCCAACAGTGCAAAAGTCAACATGCTCAAGCATGAGCAAATGATTTTTCTTCTTTTAAATTCTCCCTTCCCTCCTGCCATCATGACCGAAACCTTGCTTTACAATTCAGATCCATAACTTTGGCATCATCTTAAATGTAACTCTCTCTCTAGATCCACACAGCAAGACCATATCTTACGCCAGTTTAGCACCCAGCAAAATTGGACTCTATCTCTATCAGGACCTCTACTAACATAATGTTAATAATTACCTATTTAGTATAGCATTGTTATTTTCTACAGAAGAGGCTATGATCTCATTTAAAGTTGACCACACATTTGTCCTAATTTACTTGTATTTTCATGCTGTTAAAATACCAATGAAACTTGAAGCCTAAATTACAATTACATTTCTCTAGGAATACACTGTAAAATAATAGAAACAATTTCAAGTTTCTTTCCTTTTTCCCCTTTTCTGAAGATCAACTTATGGACGGTTTTGGTTACCTTATTTTATGTAAGTACAGTAAACTTCTGATAATCCGGCACCTTTAGGACCCAGGGGGTGCCAGATTATCGGATATGCTGGACTATCAGAAGGGGGGGGCTATGAGGGATCTGGGGTGGGGTGTGGGGGATGCCACCCCACACCCCTCATTGT